ATAATATACTATAGGTCACATATTTTTCAAAAGCCTTACTAAACCTTTTATGTTAATCCATCGAGGTGAGCCATCTGACATCCTTTAAAGAATAAAGCCTCGTTTACCAGCCCGTATACAATTTGCAGTTAATTAGTTAGATAAAGTATTTATCCTGCTTAAATATACATTTTACTTTTCTTTTAAACATATGTATATTACTAATAACTTGTTAGATAATAGAACTGAATTCTTAAATTATAAATGTCGCATTTGGTGCAACGTTTACTACGAGTCGATTGTCGAGCCTAGTCTCTTTTTACCCTGAGTACTTTTATGAAGACAACTTTGTTACTTTACCAATGTAACCTAAAAAAAGATGGACGTTTGTTTTTATAACAAGAAAATATTAATCAAAATATATGTACATTAGAACACCTCGAGATTGGAGGAGTTAATGTACAGTGCTTGTTTAGTATAGATTTGTCTCGAACACGAATGGGTTATAACACAAACATATAAATATATGAAGTAAGAGTATTTTATAAATGTATATATTTTAATTATACATAGTAAAATCATCTAAATAGAAATAATATTGCTACGAACCGAATAATTAAGCATTTGTTATGAATCAACAACAAAATAAGGCGCCTTTTATTCAAACAGCTGATCTTTGCACACTTTAATAAGCACCTTTGAAAAAAAACTTCTCAATACTCATTTAAATGAAACTAATATTTTCGGATTTACTACGCGTTTTTATTTTTGACTATAAACTACATACTCTCGACGTTTAGGTTACTTTACAGCAACCGTGATCACGGGCAGACGAGATGTAGTTTATTGTCAAAATAAAAATGACTAGTAAATCCGAAAATATTAGTTTCATTTAAATGAGTACTCGCGAAAATCTTAGATCCCATTATCAATACTTTTTGCATTTAATTAACTTTATGTATTAAATGAGAACGTAAAATTATACGTAATTATTATATTTAACTACAAAAGATCGAGGAAACTTCAAGCATACTAGCTACTGACCCCGTGGTTGCTTCACTCGGGACTGGTTTTATGGTAATTTCTTAATCTCCGTGCATAGATCGAGCGGCAGTTATGGTGAACTTTGACCTACAATAACTTACTACGTAGATGCTTTATGTTGTGTGACGTTTGATATATGTACTTTATAAATATAAATAGGATTGAATTAATTAATAACTCGGATGATGCAGTTGATTTTCATTTATTCTGAAGTAATGTTAACTCAAATTTCATACTAAAATAAGAACTACATATGATTGTTCTAGTAACTTAAAGTAAGTATTATGAAAAATAATTTGTTTATATTTTTGTCTAATCGAAATACAGATTATAAGTTATGTTTAACAATTTGTATTCAATACTGTATGAACAAACGTATCACTAGTCGTAAAGAAATTATCTACAATATATCTTTCATATATTTGTGAAAATCAAAATTATTCAATCAATATTAACACATGATATGCATGTTTTTATTTTTCATCTGTTTCTAAATAACCATAACTTTATATTTAATTTTATTCATTTCATCATGCTCATTACATTTTTCTTATCATAACAACATATGTATTAAAAGGACAATTTTTTTTAAATATATGTATACCAAAACTAAGCTCGTAAAATACAGCCGGTTCAATACAATTACTACACAAATATTTTAAATAATGGAACTAATAAAACATAAGAATGTAATAAAATTCCAAATTTAAACCAAAATAAAATAAAAATAATGAATTAAATTTACGAAAGCATAATTATAATCCATACCAGTAATTATGACAGTGAGGTAAAGGTATTATAAAATGCTAAAATCGAAAATTTCCTGATATAAAAGGCATCAAGTTATACGGGACCAAAGATTACTTACGGGATATCGATCAAGTCCCACACCGCAAGTTATGTACATTTTACTGTACTTTTAACAGAAGTTAGAACGTAATCTTCACAGTGACTGAACTATTTACTAGTAAATATTTGCGTAATTGGTATACATACTTGTGACTCGTGAAGTCTATTAGTACCCAAGTTAAAAGATGCTCATAAATATATATTTTTCGGGATATGACTACGATTTTATTAATTTATTTTTACATATTCTCACGTTTCGATTATTTTTCACAAACCGTGATAATAAGTAGTAATGAAAGGGTACATCCATGATTCATCTGAATGGTTACAGAGATATCGGGTATATTTTAGTAGTAAGTGAATTTGCATGACACTCTAACGTTTAGACCCTTAAGTATAATTGAATGGAAAATTATTTGCCTTGACGTTGTATAGCCTTGACTTTCCACGCTCTTATTAGAACATTCTTGAACGACGACTAGCTGGTTCATCATCAGATTAAATCAATGGTGGTATGATCACATGATTTAACAACACTTCTAAAAGTACTTAGTTATATCATTGGTTTTATCTACAGGAAACTATTGGTTTGAAGCCATGATGCAGGTTGCCGTACCAGGATTGTAGAATACATGTTAATAAAGTGCTGAGTATATATGGGCCATACATTTAATCTCACAGGAAATCGTACGGGACAAGGTCCAAAGCCCTGGAGATATAAAGAATTCTTCCATATACCGCTATGTTTCTATTCACATACTACTTTACGATAAGCGAGTAGAAATATTGCTAATCTGTTTATCAGGAGACCACACCTTAACTTTGATTATGCATCCATCATCTGATTACTTTGCCTTCACATTCTGTTGTACCGTCTGATGTTTATATTTGAAATATTAACTACATACTTTAGGTAGTTATTACTAATAAGAGTGGTTCATCACTATCATCATCATCATCCTCTAGAGTCTAGAACTTTAATAAGAAGAGTATCGTCGGACGATTATAATGTTACTATATAAGCCAACTGTGCACAGGATATTTTTCTTTTTCTTCTTTTTGTTGTCACTCTATCATACAGTCTCCCCCAGCTTTCATTTTAACAAAGTGGTTTCATCAGTGACTAGATATATAATTATATTCAGTTGAAAATAAAAGATTTTTAGCATTCGCATCATTCACACTTAAGGCAGGTCAGGACGAAAATTAACTTTCTTATGAGTTTCGTTGTCCCACAAATATCATATAATAGCGTTCTGGTGTTCTGTACAGCGATAGCAAAACAACAACTTCCTACATATCAAAATAAAACTAACTGGGCTGAGGTTAAATGTATTTAACGCTCTAAATTTAGATAACCCAAAAACAGACAGCATGTCATCAAAGTTGATGTAAATTAAGCTCCTGTCTCAGTAACTACGTTATATTCACCACCAGAATGTCTATTAATTTCAATTTCCAGATTATGCACATAGTATTATATTATACAAGGTGGTAGAGCCTAGCTGTGGTCAAGTTACTACAGCTCGAACATGTGCTGGCTCGACCGGGGAAGTACCACCCTCTCACAGAAGATCGGCGTGAAGTAGCCTTTAATGGTTGCGTTTCTACTGATGAGTGAGGGAGCCGGTTGCCCTTTCCATGTTCCAACCCTTTCCTGTTCTTCCTCTACTCCTAACTTTTCTAATTCCTCAAAAATAAACAACTGCCCATCAAGTAGGTCGACTGCTTGTATGCCATCTTTTTCAATAAAAAAATTCTTATTTGCTCTTATTAAATCATACCAAATAATTAATTTTAATATATGTACGACATTCAAACTTTTAGGTTTGCTTTATCACAAAATAATTGTTATCTTACATTCAATCTATTTAACACAAAATATCTAATAAACATTGATATGAATATACCTACCGTACTTAATAAGAAACTTAGTTACTAGCATGTTAAAAATAAGTAACTGGTTTAATAAAACGACGCTTCATTAACAACGAAATAAATAATAAAAATATGGACAAAGACACATTAAATTCACGATGGGAGAATCCTTGAATTATGTGTAGGTACATTTTTCATATTTTTTATCACACCCAACAAATGTTTTATCAATAAGAAGATATATTGTTAGGTATCTTTTACTCTCGTATTTAGTAACGATAAAATGAATTACATGTGACAGTTGACAATTTTTTTATAGTAAATACAATATTTTAAATTGACGTCTTAAGACTTTGATATGCTTTGTTTAATCAACTGGATTTTTTGTAAAATAAATTAAACATAGAACATTGAATTACAAGGTCTATGTTTTCAACCTTTCTTCATGTCTTAGCTTGTCAAATACTGATTGTAAATCTCAATCTATGATAATAAAAGTCGAATTATGTAATTCATATCTATGCTTGTGTATGTGTAAGTGCATGTGTGTCTGTGTGTGTGTGTGTAACCTAGTAGTAGTATGTAGATATAAATTATTCTATTGAAGTCAATTGTACGGCGAGGTGTAGTTCACTCGATGGGTGTAGTGTGCGCATATCCGTTGAATGTAAAATTAATGTGTAAAATACGTATATTAAATTTCATATATTAGCGAGTGTTTAAAAATAAATATTGTTTATATAAAGTAAGTAATAATTATACATTTATTTTATATATTTTTTGGTTTTATCATTAAAAAAATCTCATTTATTTTCGTTTTTAATAGTACTTAAATAGATATCACTATTTTCTATGCATATCATTTGCGACTTAGATTTGTTAAGTTTGACAATTTTTAACATCAGCATTATTCATAGTTTTTTTTAACTTTAAAGCATTAAAATTTGTAGTTTTTTATTTTTAGATATATCTTATGTCTTATACAAGAGACATTTGTCATAAATTATTATCATCGGCTTAGCAGTATCAAAGAATATCACAACATAGAGGATTTATCAAATTGAGCATGGTTTTATTATTTCTAAAGATTATGTAAATTTCTAAAATATCCATTTGTTGAAAAGGGTAAAACATATGTTAAATAAAGATTGTGTATTGTATTACCTCACTAAATTTTATATACATATTTCAAAGCTTATTTTTGTATAAATGATTAATAACTTAGTTTTACATATATAATTTAAGGAATAATGGCGTACCGTTTGTCGAGCTGGTTCCGTAGCTCGTTAAAGAAGCGTCCGGTCCTCACTAACACCGCCGTGTACGCCACCTTCTACACCGCCGCGGAGTTGTCGCAGCAAACGTTTAATAAAATATATTCGGTAATTTAAACCGCATCGGTGTGAGGTGCGCTCTACTGTCAGCTAGCTGATAATAAATGGATTCAGTTTGTATTCGTTATCATATTTTAAATAGACTGGAACGCATGTACGTATGAATGAAATTTGTGTCAATCTAAGATACGGAGTTTTTTGGTTTTTATAACAATAGGTTAAGAAACATATACCTATACCTAGTATTTAAATTAAAGGAGCCCTTAAGTAAACTTTGACCTCTACACGATTTAATTCATAATAATATTAATTCGAATAATAATAATATGATAAATTATGAACTATTCTCAATCATATATGTATAGTGTTTATCCAATTAGTGGCTTTAATTTTCAATATACATAACTATAATTTACGCTAAAATATATTTTGAATTTGCTGTATTGTATAGCATTGATTAATTAAATAAATGTGGAATGTATTATATTTTATATAAAAAAGTAATGGCAGCGGTGGGATTCGAACCCACGCCTCCGAAGAGACTGGTGCCTTAAACCAGCGCCTTAGACCGCTCGGCCACGCTACCTATTGATTGCAGTCCCGAAATATCTATTAGAGTTCTACACGGGATTCATGAAGCGCTATATTTTTAGATCACTAGATAACTAACGAACAATTTACAGTTTTATATCTTAAAACCTTGGCCCTTGAATAAGAAAAATCTTCAAATGTTATAGTTTAATTTAAACTTTTAAGAGACAACGATTAATTAATTAAAAAGGCATCATGTTCGATACATCTTATAATGTATGACATATTTCTTCATAAATTCAACAATAGGCAAAAGTCTTGGATGTCAGCTTCATTAAATATAACTACTGTTATATATTGTCTTAGTCAAAAAACATTACTATGACAAATTATAAGAAAGCAAAAGCAAAAATTTTTGTCAAATTATGTCAAATTTATTTACTTCTTTGCAGTTTGTTTTTTATGTTCCAAATTATTGAATATGTCGATAATTATTATAATTTGTTTTTATACCAGTCAGATAAGCCTGAAATGGATTTCGCGGCAGCGGGTCGTATAGTGACCGTTGGTAGTTGTCTCTATGCTCCAACACTTTACTATTGGTAAGTGTCTTTACGTGGTTTTAGGCGAACTAGTTTTAGACATAACACTATTATTTTTACCACGAGTTTGCATGAATACTATATACAGAGCGGTTAGAATTTTTAGTCATAAATCTTTTTGATTGGAAAACAGGAAACGCTTTGTATGGTAGTGTGATATAAATTAGGGTAAGAAATAGTTTACTATCAAAGAATATTGCTATAGAAAACTAAGTCAGCTGATAGTTGAATGAGATATCTTAGTGAGTTTGACGACATAATAAACTGATTCCAATAGGCAAGTATAATTTCAATGAGAATTTTGATATATGTAGAATATCTGTTCCTTCTAAGTTTAATATAAAGAGAGAGAAGTAAGTCACACATCCCCTCCTATTTTCTTTTGCTTCTAATCTCTGATCCTACTCTTCAAAGTCAGTTTATTTCAGATGCACAATTGGGTTCATTGTTTTAGTAATAAATAATTTATTGATGAAATGAAACCGTTGTTTATATTTCAATAGAAAGACATTGAAAAAACTTCATACATTTAGTGGTAGTCGTATTAATATGATACGTAGTATAAACTATAAAATACTAGCAAGTAATTAATAGTTAGATAATATTCATCGGAATGCCGTCGCAATATCAGATTATTTTTAACACTAAAACATTTCTATATTTTACTTTTTTACATGTTTCTGGTTAATTCCATTAAATTGTATTACTTTTAAGGTACAAGTTCCTGGATAGAAAATTCGTTGGTACTAGTTTAAAAGTGGTCGCTACCAAAGTTCTCTGCGACCAGCTCATTATTACACCGGTTCTCTTGGCTATATTCTATACAGGTATGATATAAATGATTTATAACATAATATAGGTATTACTCGACTTTGTGTGTTTAAGTTTAATATCGCGTATTATTTAACGAAGCTTTATGAACAAAGCACATTTTCAAACACATTAAAACCAAATATTGTTTACATCTAAAGTTTCTTGGTAACTATTTTTCAATTAACATACAAAAACATACAAACACAGCAAAATTTCGTGCGACTATAATGAAACAGAATGAATTATGAATATTTCATTGTAATAAATAATTCATTGTATATAGAATCATAACTTTATGGATACACTTGTAACTGAACGCACAAGTTTATGTCTGTCCTTAGAGAAATTATTCAAAACGACGGACGTAATTTTAACCTACCATATTGTATGTCATGTGACTTATTACTACACAGAACTTCTATGACGTCATACCGCTGATTAAACAGAATGAAAGTGTTACTTATAGCTTATGTGCTATTCTGAAATCTCAATTGTATTACGAAATAGTTCTAGAAAACTCCATTACGTAATTTTTATGTGAAAGAACAATAAGATTCATACGTCCTCACAAATTTTCCTAATTATAAGACTTATTGGGTAAAATAAGTCACATAGAGCTTACAAGTTTTAAGCCATGTAAATGATTATTTTAGGTATGGGTATCGTCGAAAGGAGGGAGGACGTATTCTCTGAACTAAAAGCCAAGTACTGGCGTACGTTTATAGCGAACCAGGCGTACTGGATACCAGCACAGACGATCAACTTTTTATTACTGCCACCAAACCTACGAGTTGTGTACGTCGCTTCCGCCTCGTTCATATGGATCAACGTGCTGTGTTTTATTAAACGACAGACGACTGACAAGTAATAAAATTAGAAATAATCTGCATGATCTCTAATTTTAATTGAAATACTTTATATCCTTTGTCTATACGCAGAGCGTATGTAATTACACGTATTTTTTTCTATACACAACTCCTTATATACTTTCGTGGAAGTTGTACATAATATAAGGGACATCTCATATTTTTGATTGTTTGCTAGAAAAAAATATGCAACTTATGTCTTAATCTAAAGATAATGGTGATTTTTTTGAATAAATGATAGTTCAAGAAATAGAATAACGATAAAGTACCAATGTTAAAGATTAAAGCTTTATAAAGATATTTTCTTTTGTCTTTTATGACCTCTAGTTTTTTCTTACAACTATTAATACAAACTTTCTTGCAAAAATCATTTTAATAATAACGGTTTAGTCAGATTTCTAAATTTTTAAATGATATGGATAATCATATTTGCTTCTCAATGTAACGATATCTAAGATGTTTTTCGACGTTTTGATTAATTTAAAGCAACCGTGTTGAAAGAAATGAAAGTAATAATATTAGAAAAATATAGTTTAATTTTTGTTGCTTAAACTTTTACTTGTTTTAGTTCTCTTATAAAGTAGATTATATTTTATTTCTTTACAACCATTTATTTGTTTTAAATCTGTTTCGAGACATAAATACTGTTTGTAAATAAAATCATTACCAACAGACATTGCATAATAAATAGGCAAACGGCACATGCATCTTTAATTTGATTAGAGGGAATCTTAGAAACTTCTAAGGTTTCATGTCTTCATAATAGTGTCTGAAAGAAAAGTGTTCAGTGTTTAAGTCTTAGCGGCTTGGAGACTACTTTTAGACGACAAATTATATATTTCATTGTTAAAAATGGAAGATTTTAATGTGTTATTAAATTTGTCAATGCCTATGGAAAACGGTTATCAGAACCAGATGACAAAATCGTCGTTTAATATGACGCTGAGTGGAAAAAGTGCATTCATTATTAGAGCTGTACAATTAAGTACCATTGGGAGTTTAGTGGTGTTGTTAATGATAACATTTCTTTTGAGTTTCAATGTAAGTACATTTCAGATAAATATTAAGAGTAAAAATGGTCGTTTTATATATTTTTTTGTTACAGTACGAAACACTAAAGAAGAAAGTGAAAATGAAAACTGATTCTAGGACATTACAGAAATCATTAGTATTAATGATTTTATTGGTAATGTCACCGCCGGTTTTTTTGTTCCTTTTATTAAGTTATGTATATAAATGCATTTGTTACATAATAATTAAGAAAAAAGACAAACATTTCGCCGGATTTCTGGATAGCTTTGATGTTTTCTGGAGTTTAGAAGACGATGCAACAAAAAGCGTTATAACGACACTAGGAGTGGTTGAATGTGAGTCAACTTTGGAATTAGTTGATTGCGTCACGGAAAAATTGCATAATATTATTGGGGATCCAGAAGCACAGAAGTTATTTTACAGAAGAAGCGAGGATTATGGATTCTTTTATTGGAGAAAATGTTGCTATGTAGACGTGAATCAATACGTCAGAGTTATCAACGTGTCGAATAAAACAAAGCTAAACGTATCTGATGTAGAAAAAGTACTCACAGAAGTCTCGTATCAACCTTTACCATTTAACGACGAGGGTTTATTTCAGATTTTGGTAGTTAATCAGACATTAGACATTGAAAATAAAGAAAACCAATACGCCTTAATATTCAGAGTCCATCACAGTTTGGGCGATGGGGTCGCTTTAATTGAATTTCTGTGTAAAACTTTGGCAGACGGTAAAGACGAGTCCATCATGTTTTGCATGCCGGAGAGGTACCCTGTAAAAAGCGATAAATCACCGGAATACTTATTAGAAATGATGTCAGCACTATATGAAATGTTTAGCTGTTTCATAGACGGTATTCTAAGATTTCCTGACGTAAGTTGCCTACATGGGCCCACTTTGATTGGCAAAAAAGTATTTAAATGGATAGAAACGGATGCGAAACTATTAGATATGGTCATGGAAATAAAAGGAAAGTATACAGATTTAAAATTTTCTGATATTTTAGCGACAGCGTTATCTTGTGGTTTGCGTGATTATTTTTTAAAGGTACGTCGTATTATGGCCAAAATATTTTCTGTTTATTTCCTTCATACCTATTCTTATTTTGTTTTAAGGAGGACGTTCCTGTTCCTACAAACGTAGCAGTAATTCTGCCAATAAGATTCCCTAACCAAGAAAAAGATGGTTTGAAGTTAGAAAATAACTTCACAGTCAGCATATTGGATTTACCGATCGGTAAAGATATAAAGATTGTAAAACAATCTATAAACAGACTACAAGAAAGTGCCGACCCTTTAGTGAGTCTTGCTATATTTTAAAATAATAAATTTAGACTTTGGACGAAAAGATATTATTTCTAATTATATTTTTTTGAATAAAAATTGCAGACCAATTATTACTTCCTCAAAATCTGCGGTATATTGCCAAAGGAAATTCTACGACCATTATTCAATAGTAGTCAAGCTTCTATGGTATTGAGTAACATGCCGGGACCTCAACTGTTAAGTATTTGTGGCGGAGAAGTTAAATCTTTGGTGTTCTTTGTGCCGAATAAAGGGAATACAGGTATATGTATGAGATGTTATGAGATCTAAGATTTTTGGAAGTTTTATTAATTTAAATGAGCTAATATTTTACGGATTATACTACGTGTGCTTTATTTTTGATAAAAACTACATATTCCCGACGTTTCGACTATATTTCAGCAACCGTGATCACTGGCAGACGAGAGGGTAGGCGGATGAGATTACGGTTGCAGAAAAGTAGCCGAAACGTCGGGAGTATGTAGTTTTTAACAAAAAATAAATTCGCCTAGAATAATCCGAAAAATATTAGTTTCATTTCGATATATAGACGTTAATTAACAAATTTTTACTTAACTTGTAGTCGTTATTGATTGAAATATATTTTCTTTATAGGTTTAGGTGTAACAGCTCTTAGTTACGGTGGAGTACTGCGATTTGCAGCAATGGCGGACGCAGCCTTAGTGCCGAGTTCAAGAAAGTTAGCCATAATATTGAAAGGGATGGCCAATGAAATAATAAGAATGCATAAAGAATTAGTTCTAAAGTAGAATAAGTTAGTAATAATGGAGTGTAGTGATGACTTCTCAGTAAAAGGTAAAATTACGTATAGATAATTGTGATATCGATTCTAACTTATAATAAGACATGAAATTATTTTTATTTCAGTGATGGAGAAGCTCAATCTCAAGGCATTTATTACGAACAAGAATTCTGCTTTTCGAACATGGAATATAAAGTTCGGTATACAAAGGGTCATAGATATTTAGGATGTATGTTTTAATCTAAAATAAATGTTATTACAATTCAACTAAAGTAAAATTTACAATAACAAACGCACTTACTGTATTTAAATAAAACAAACTACTTAGAAATCACATCCGATACTTCAGTCTCATGTTCTCTAGAAGTAACAAATTGCACTTTTTTATCTGTAGACAAATGTAATAGTAAATATCTAAAAACATTGTCAAATTCTCCTAATAGGTACATACATTAAAAGAAACTAAGTTTAATAAATTTTCTACAGTATATATCAAACTAATCAAAATATAGAATATTCTTATACAAACTTCCGCCAATAGTAAAGAGACTGCAGCATCTTTTTCGCTATTCAGTACACCTTCAAGTTTCTCATCTAACTCGATCCGAGCGCGCTCTGCCGACGACAAAATGGCCTCCATCGAACACTTCAAGTGAAATATTCTCTCTTCGTACCAAACTTTCTAAGCATATTATCATATTAAAGTACATATATTTTATTTGTATATTTAATAATATTGTGTTTTTTTCGTATATACCTACGTATAAATTTTTATTACCTGAACAAATCTTTTGCATTTGACATCTATATATTGTTTCCCAACTAATAATAAAGCTCTATTTACGCGCTGCAATTCATCGTCCGTCTTTTTGACACATGCACGTAATGTTGCCAGTTCAACGTCGCGGGATGTTAGTAAACTACTCCGCTCAACGTATAATTTCGATAAAATTTCATAACGTTTTAACAGATCCTCGTACCTTAAACACAGATGTATTTTATGATGTAGAAAGCTACTATTATTATATGTACTGTCTAAAAATATTATTTAGCATTTAGTTCTTGTATCTAGCGTCCGAGATTAAATACAAGCAAAAGGTCAACAATCGTCCATATTGAAATTACTTGGACAATGCCGTAATAAAAAGTACTACTTTATTGTATTTACAAAAAAATATACTTGTATTGCAGACAGAATAAGTTGATCGAAGACAATGATTCGTCAATTTTAACAAGGCTTACATTCTGCGATTTAGATGTACTTAGTTTTGAAGGGTTTGATTCACCTAAAATGTTAATAAAATTTTAAAAAACACGTAACACTCGACGACAGCCTAATTTTGACATAACAGTAATTAAAATAGATATTATCTGTACCAGAACACTTTGAAAATCTTGAATTAGAAACGTCGCTTTCCCACCATTCATTAACATCATGACTGTGGGTGTGACTGTTTTTGCATTTAAAAAGCTTTTCCTCATATCTTTCACTTTTTTTAATACTTCGCTCGAGTTCCCCAATAATACTTTTGGCATTCTGAAGACCAACAAGGAATTTTTGTTCTCGATTTTTTTGCTGAAATATATAGACACAGATTACCGCAATTTATTTGTTATTTATAAAATGTATACATATTTGTTTCTTAAGGAATAGGTATAAATGACAATACCGTTAATCGATTGAGATTTACATATTTAAAATTACTAGGCATAAAAAGATCATTATTACTATCAAAAGTACTCATTTCACGCATAACAATAGTTAAAATATAATTGTAAAAGTAATATTTATTTCAAAGTACCTAATAATATTCTTAATTGAAATTTCACTAGTCTACAATTTGACAGTTATTTTATAAATGACACATGTCCGATAAAAAAAAAAGGTTTCAAAAAAGAGGTCAAATAAAAATGACGTGCTAACTTTGTCAGGTGGTTTATTCAACTACAACGAAAAGCATAACTTTTAATAACTAAATCAGTCTAAATATATTATACCTCCTGCTATAACTACATATATTCAATCTAAAATGTTAAAAACTATGGTGCTTTCAAGTTATTTACAACAAAGATACGTCTTTTAACGGCTCTAACATGAAATTATTCATATAGAAATTTCATAAATATCCTGTTACATAATGTAAGCTTTTTAAACGGTATTCATACAAATAATTTTCTGTATTGTATTTATATACTAGTAACATACTTTGAGGCCAGGCATTTTTATTGAGTCTTATAAATCATTTACAAGAACATTAATTTTCAAATATTTTAGGCATTGGCTTCAGTTATATAAACTAAGCCTACAATTTTGTGATGATTATTTACTAAGTTACATAGGATTTTTGATATACATAATAAATTAATGTAAATTTTCAATATAACATGTATAATATTATATCTTCTGCCATTTATTATCTGTATGAATACAGCTGAGAACATAACAAAACCAATATTCCAAAGATTAAATAAAAAATAATCACCAACATTGGAAGACTTTTGCATTTCGAGCACTAGAAGCTAGAAAATATAACAACTACAATATATGGAACGAGTAACAAATTAAAATACTGATTATTCAACAACTGTACAAAACTGTATAAAAAATGTGATGATCATATAATTACTTTTTATATTATACAGAAAACTAATTAGGTTACTCGAGTCATAAGCATGAATGTGACTTTGGATATATACAATGTTTCGGTAAAATCATTAAATATTGCACATATTGTCTTATACGATTATATAAAACAAAGTTATTAAAATCTGTAAAACAAAAACTGGTATATATTTATATTGTACATAAACAGAGTACATTATGTGTTACAAACAAAACAATGTTTTCATGTAATACAATAATTTATTGCTTCAATATCTTGTACCGTATGTGCTTAATTGAGTGAGATATTAAGGCCGTTTATAAATATAAACATAATAACATTATCCGGGTCAATAGTTTTGTATTCCAATATATCATGAAGAATTAGAAACTTTAAACAATAAATTTCTAACTTTATACATCGAAATTTGTTAAACTAAAAATTCTTTCTAGGAACCTATTTCATTCTCACTTGTATAATATCAATAACTACACATTAAATAAACAATAGTTCAACAGATATAATGTGATGACCGGTCATATGTATATAAAGCAAATACATAACAATACATTTTGTTTATTATTGCTTCATGTATATTTAAATAATTTAACAGTATACATAATAAAAATAACATGATCTGTAATATTTGGTTACATTTGATTAAAAACTCTTTGGTACTTCATACATCCGTATAGTCTGTGGTACAATATACATTTTTAAGGCAAAAAACAGGAACAAAACATCCAAATAAAACAACAATCTTAAAGAATATTGGTTCAATGCAAAGCCAGTTGCAAAATAAATTGAGCTTTGGAAAATTTCCTTAACATCATACTGAGATCCACAATCAACTGTAGATTACTAAACTTAAAGCATCCCTGTACAGATCATACTCATGAAAACTCGACAAAAAATATTTTAATGTAAACATTTATAAAATTTAGTAATTTGCAATTGATTGTACTTACGCTATTTTCTATATAGAATTGGTGATGTTGTGGAAGAGTCGTTTTCCCCACCAGGTCTCGAGGTCAAAGGGTGTGAAGTTTTCTAGTTCGGGACTCGGTGGATCTTGATAGTAGAGGGTTGACGGAGCAGGAGATGAACTGCCGGAGCCTTGAAAAGTTATATATATACATTATACATTAATTTTATACAATACAAACAGAAAAAAAAACAGCATATAAGGACTTAATGATGAAGTTAGGCTTATAACGGCCATATAAAATGTATTACATAGAAATTTTAACCAATATGTAGTTAGAGAGTTAAATGGGGATTCCATCTAGGCAATACAAGATTCATTCTCAGGTTCTTAGTATAAATCAAGCTTAGAGGACAATAGAAATATATACTTCAATGTTATAGTCAAAATAGACATATTTGTTTGGAGAAAATCAATCCAAAAATATTGGACAAATCTAGTGTGGTAAGCTCACCAAATATTCGCTAATAAAACATAATAAGTGGATCTTTTGCTATAACAAATATTGACTAATATATTTGTAATTGTAAAAAATGCATCCTTTTTTCTAACAAATAGTCAACATTGCATATAATTGTGTTTATACACAGTACAATGCTATCATATATCCATCTGTTTTTTACTAATTTAACTCATGAACCTGTTTTCAAAGGAATATTATTTATATCCTAATCATACATCTATTTTGTGAGCTCTTACAATACAACAGTTTTGTTTAAATTATCTTTTGTGCTCTATCCTGTTAGTGTAAATGGCTTGTTATTTAAGATCTATTTTATAATAGGGTATTTATTAATTATTGTTAAAATAGGTTCTTTAGATAAATTATTAATAATTATAATTATGCTTTTAGACTAAATATCAACCTTTTTTTAAGATGCAAGACAAAATCCTCTCTTTTAGAGAGTATCCAAAAAAATTATCTAGAAAATAACAAAGAGTCTTTTATTGCTTATATTAAAATTTTACTTGATTTATTTACAATTTGTTGCCATGAGCTAGCCTTGTAAAAAATACATTAAGTAAGAATTTCAGTATAATTAATTTCAAGAAATTGTTATACATGAGTAATTACAAGAAGAAATGTTTAAAATCAATAGTTTTGTTACTAAAATATTATTATTTACTTACCAATTGTACTTGTTGGTGTGGAGGGCTCACTATCACCATTGGATGTTTGTGTCCAGGCTGGAAAAACATTTTGCATTAAATATCAATTACATATTACTTTTTTTCTTTAGATTTGGTAATTATGGGAAATTATTCTTTAATTTTTAAAAAAAGTCTATTAGAAATAATTATGACAAAATGTATAATTTGCATTAATTATATCTAAAGGTCAGCATTTTTATAATAAATTATTATTTAAATGCTTGATAATAATTATTGTAATGCAATTATAAAGGACATTTTAACAAACAATAGTCTCAATGGTTTTTGTAAAAATTACTTCTATTTAATAAATATTATGAATTTAATTGCAAATAATTGTTATAAAAAGCATTTTTATCACTAATGTAAAACTTACTTTCGCTTATATATCTAATCATTTCTTCATGCTGTGGTGTGATCACATTGTGCTGTATTCTTTGGTGTACTGTCTTTTTTCCATTGGAATGAAATACTGGCTTAGGCATGCTGAAATATATGAATTGAAAAAAAGACATGATTTAACACAATTGTGAATTGGGTTGTCACACAGAACGAAATATTTTATCGATAGTAATGTCGGTTTAATAAATAATAATTTAATATTTATTGACAAAACCGTAGTGCTGACCTCCGGTCGGAGGTTATGTAAAATTAGTGATGAAACTTTAACAGTGCACTTCTTGCATCACAATACTTAAAATTAACTTACCTTAGAATTTCCCCATTGTCGGAGTCTGATGATTTCCTATGAGACTCTTTACGGCTGTCTAATCTCTCTAAATTCTGAGTGAGACCTAGAAATACAAAATATTAGTCTAATGATCGCTTTAGGTTAAATGTATAGTGTTACTCAATTTTCCAAAAATAAATAAAAAAATCACCTCTTCGAGTTTTAGCTACAATCTTGCTGGGTCCTTTAGACACTGTATACATTTTAAAATTTTAAACGAAATTTTATTCAACTAATTTCAAGCAAGTATTGTATTGAAATCAACCTGAAGTACAATTTTGTGTTGCCATAACTAACAAAATCAAATACCTAAACTTAACAGACTAAAAAATAACAACACGTGATTTAAAATATGAAGTCTTATTGTGGAAAGTTGTTAAATAACGTTCAATAAAGATAGATTTTCATTATAATGATTGGATATAATTTAAAAAATAACTATCCGTTTCATTAGATACTGTTAACAGGAAGGAAACATGTAAAAATTATGGAGGGAAACTTGTTAGACAGTTAATATGCATTATTTAATAAACCTGACTTTATTTTAATGAAAGTAAAAATATATATAAATTTACTTTATTTAATTATTCTTCTTCTTGCGTGTTTCTGGAATAGGTTGTAAAAGTAATAAAGTACGCTTGAAGAACTTCAGGTCGAAGGTTGTGGCCTGGTAAGGTGAGGTTTAGAAAAAATGAAAATATGTGCTTGCCGTAACTTTCCTTAATATACTTAGAAATGTCTGGTTATTGTAATGATGTTCTATTTTGAAATATTTCACGTATGACGCTTTCAGATAAGCGTTCTTATTTGTAACAGAAATAATATCCATATTTTATTATTCGTGAAATTTCCGACTTAAAGTACACTTATAACCGGCTTTGTTCTTTTAGTTATGAAAAATTGCAACAATATGCATTATACTAAGCCATCGATCGTACACATATATTTAAATAATTTGCATATTTATTTTGAACATGACTTCTGTTTTATGCATTAGTATTTTATACATTTTAGTGATCAATATTCATAACAATATTTCTCAATAATTAATCTAATACAGTCACTTTGCCAACTTTTACAGTCAGATTCTACTTTGGTTTAATTATGTGAGCTGATAAGTTGTAGATAGGTACATAACTTGTTTTTAGATCGTCACATTAAAAAATCATTAAAAGTAAATTTGTAGGTACCTACATGTTACAAATTAATATGTGGGTTTCTATTGGATTATGAAGAAATTTTATATTAAAAAACAAATAATGCTCCCAAATCATTGCGACTGAGTTGAAGGATATAAGATTTTTATTAAATTATAGCAAATAAAAACTTTCTTACAATGAAATCACACATGTATATTATTTAAAATATAAATGTGTGATTTAATTATATTTAAAATAATATAAATGTAGATGTGATTTCAATAAAATTTAAGGGACGATTAGAAAATATCAATAAAAATCATGATATGTTTATGTCCACGTAACGAATGATAGTGCAGTTTTGTTTAAAATACATTACGTGTTGACCAATATGAAAATATACCTACACTTTAGGGCACAAGCAATGTATATTAAAATATTTCATAAATTTATTTCGGATAATGCTTCAAAACCTGTAGATTCCGTTGTTGTCAATTAATTATGTGCTACTTAATAGTAAAGAATTGCTATTACGTTGTTAAATTTTTTTTATTGCTGAGAGAATTATGTTGATTTTTAAGTATTTTTTTGATTTTACATTTAATATGTTAACATTTAACACTTTCATTAGAAGAAAGAATCACTACCGTAAATGAGAAAACAGTTATATGAAAAAAATTGCGACCATACTAATTATAATGTCTGTTTCATCAACCTCATAAAATAATTAATTAATATTGTAGAACTCGAATAATATTCATACATGTACCAGATAATTAATTTGCCTAAGTTTATCTATTCAAAATCACTTTCCCTTTGCGAAAGAAAAGTATAACGTTTAAATACTGTCTACTACATATATAGTATTAGTTTACAATACATTTCTGTTCTAAAAGAACATCAGGATACAATTTTTAATATTTTTTTGTTATGATAATGTAGTTTTGAAAAAACAAGACAGATGTCGCTAGCAGTCGATTATTCCACTGATCATAATGGATGGAACCTAAATCGACCTTAATGGAGCTGATAAAATAAAACCTCTTTTTTGATAAATGTAGTATAATAGAAAATTTATTAAGAATGGGTCCTCAAAAATACAACACAGAATATTTTATAATTATTTAAAAAAATATATACCAATAAATGTTGCAACTTAAATTTGAATTGCAAACAAATTCATGTAATAAATCTAACATATTTAATGTAATACGAAAATATGAAACAATATAACTTTCATATAACAAATGAATATATAATTATATTCAAAACTTGTTAGGGTTTTTCTTCAAAGGTTTTTTCATTATTATTATGTTTTTATTTAATAAAAATAGAAACAAATTATATTAATTTTGCTATTATTATAGATACTTTATTATTTTCCTTATTTCTATCCATCTATAATTTCCTTTGAAGCCTCATACTGTTTACTTTTTTAATAATAGCAATACTTCACGAGAGCGCCATCTATATAATTTATTTGGTAACAATTAACATAGCTCAGTTCTATCGTTTTCCAATATTAAAATTCTTTTTTTTTTGTATTGGAATTTGTATTGGCGGCAGGATAGTTTTTACTTTACTTATAATTTGAAAAAATATGTAGTTTACAAGGATATTATATTGATTATAATTTATACCAATATCCTGTATCGCTCCTTTATATGGAATGTAAGTTATGTTTTGTGTGATGACTACAGATGGCGCTGCTGGGTGGTTAGCATATTTATTTAATTAATAAAATACCTCCTTCTCTGAATCAAATTCCAAATAGTACTAAATCTGTTGTATCAGAAATCTCTGATGATAGATCTTCTTATTTTTATTTTTTTGTAAAGTTTATAGAGTAATTTCTAAGATTTTGAAAGGTTTACATATTATGTATACCTACTGTATATAGGTTTACGTATATAATTAGCATTATAACAATAAAACTATTATGAGGTAATTTTGATTAAAAATTCAAATAAAATTCTACATTCGTTCTGGTTATTTAGAACACGTTATGATAATGATTAATTTATTTTCTATTTGTGTTTTAATAAAAGATTGCATAGATTTTTCAGACACTCTCATCTCGTCTGCTTGTTACTATGGTTACAGAAAAATAATTGAAGCATCGACTTAGTCATAACAGATACGGCAGTTACTCCGGAAACATATAATTATTAATTTGGGATAAATATATCATACGAAATAATTTAACAATGAATGTGTTGAATATTTCAAAGGTTTACTTTGGAATACGCAACAAAATCTTTGTCAAAGTTAATAGGAATTTCTCATAAAAGTTAACTTGCTACTACTGTTTTGTTTTGTTCTTACCTTGAAGGTTAAAAAGATTACTTAATAAACAGATAATATAATAGTTTTAGTGCTGATTTTATGATAAAAATGTTATAAATTGTGTTGGACATCCATGTGAAAACGAAAATAGAAGTGGGACATGGTCAAATGTTATTTTGTATTCCGATATATTAAAAAAGAGACTAATTGGAATTTCGAAAGGAACGGAATATTCTAACGAAACTTACTTATAATTTGAATATTTTTCATTGATAAAAATGTGACAACAATCAACAAACGAACAATCTGGAGTGAAAATAAAATTTAGTCAAATAAAACAGAAACTTTTTAATGTTTATAAGGATAATTTATGTAATTAAACATTGTTTTAGTAAGAAATATACCTAATGTTGAGCTTTCAAAACTTTTATCTTATCCTTATGGTATTTATTATATAGGAGACATACTTTTTATTCCATAGATATCAAAAAAAAGGTTTCACTAAAAAGATTTTATTAATTGTGTACATACATAGGTATATATCAAATCAATAGGTATGTCATCTATTTAGTGTGGCGTACGTTTACTCCAAGACTGCATTGTAAACAAACGAAAAGGTTCACAGTTTTTCATTAATAACTATTGACATATTATAATACTAGCTTTTGCCGCGACTACGTCCGCGTGGAATAATGACTTCCGGCAGATTTTTGGTTCTTCCCACATAGTTCCCGTTCTTGCGGGGTTTTCGGAATGATCGAGTTCCCGTAGAATTTTCAGGATAAAACCTATGTTTTTATTATTCACAATGAAGTACTCTTCACCAAGAACATATTTATTTGTTTATTAGAATAAAGATTAATATGTATTAGTATGTTGATACAACTTAAACAAATTATTTCGACCAAATTAGGTACCATAAAAACGGTTTTTGTGAGTTAATCTTAAAAGATAGACATATACTGTCGCGGACTGTTTTTTAGATCATTAAAAGAGCCATTATTCTTTAATACATATTTTTTGTGTATCTTGAACCGTTTTCACGGCGCACGCAAAGGAAGGCTTCGAAGATGAAATAATTTCTCCCGTTTTTTACACTTTTACCACTATATCTTTGCTCCTATTGGTCGTAGCGTGATGTTATATAGCCCACAGCCTTCCTCGATAACTGGACTATCTAACACAAAAAGAATTATTCAATTCGAACCAATAGTTTCGGAGATTAGCGCTTTCAAACAAACAAACAAACAAACAAACAAACAAACAAACAAACAAACAAACAAACAAACTCTTCAGCTTTATAATATTAGTATAGATTTAGTTATTGACTGAGATACGGTTAACGCTTCGTATGTAACGATACAAAGTTGAAACTTCTGATAGGCATAGCGATGTATTTTTCTTTCAACAATGATAATTTTTCATTTGAAGCACCTAGACAAAGCGATTGAAATTTAAACCATTAGTAATAGTTAGTGAAACAAGTAATAAAAATAGTAATAGCCTTTACTAGCGGTTATATTATAATGAATCATATTTCCATTAATTCTGATTGTATCGTAAATGTAAAAATGTTTAGGTCAGCCTGTGTTAGAATCTTATATAACATATGTTACCCACACATGTATAAAATGCATAAGCTTCAATACAAACCAAACACACACACACACACACACACACACACACACACACACACACACACACACACATATATATATATATATATATATATACGAGGTGTGTTCAAAAAGTATCGCGACTTTTGAATTTTTTCGGGT